TTAGACATTAGTAAAGTTTGAAAAATAAAATGAACGATAGGTTGCTGCATCATCTTAGCGGTCTAGTTTAATGACATCATTTTTGTATAAATGAAGTTATGCTTATTGATAAGTTGTAAAAAATCATCAAATTTGATGGAGAAGTTGCTAAATGTTAATAATTATACTCCAGACATTATGGCATTTTTTTGCTATTTTTTTGGCATATTTTAGATTCTGACCGCGTATTATAGAACCAATATTATCAAAAATTGGACACAAAAAATTAATATTTAATTAAAGTACTTTAATTATTAATTTTTTATTTGTTAAATATCAAAATTGATTGTTGAGCTTGATATTCTGTTATAGTACTATTAGATTCTAAAGAGAGTAAATAAAAACCAAGTTGTAATACAATTTCCATAATTAATTATTTGTGCAATTGTAATATAGTATCTATAGTCTCAGCTTCTTTATTTAATATTAATGCAATAACTACTAGAAGAAATGCTAACAATGGTATCTGTTTATAAATATATATTAGAATAATTTATTAAAATAATATATGCTAAATAATTAAATAAGTTAAAATACTTACTTGTAAAATATATGTACAAATATTTTTTGCCATTCTATTTCTAATTTAATTTTATTAATTATTCTTAGTATATTATTATATACATCAACTTTTGTTTCTTCTTTTGATAATATTGATCTAACAACAATATAACTGAGATTAGAAGAATATTGTAACTGTAACTTGAATTTTGTATTATCAGTCATAGCTGAAATTGGTCTATTATAATTAATTATATCAATTAATCTTTAAATTATGCTACATTTTCATAACATAATTCTGGATTAGTTAAATAATCTTCATTATTCTTTCTTATTTGTCTACAAAAATTAATTAATTATAATTTTAAAAATAAATTAGAAATATATTTATAATTTAATTAATTATAATTTTTAATAAATTATATCTAATTGATTGAATTGAGCATTCTTTTAAATTTTACCAAAATAAATCTAAAGCCTTGAACTAATTCCTCCTAATATCATTAGAAAATTAGTAAATTTATCATTATACTTTAAGTTTTTTTTGGATTTATTTTCATTTTACATTCAATTGCATTACTCATAACTTCACAAAGATCAATAAAGATCAGTATATCTTTAAAAGCACCTTTTATAGCCTTATCAGTAAGACTTATCTATGGATTTTTTAATTGACTTTCAGATTTATTATTATTATGAAAAAGATAATAAGAATTTCCTTTTTTAAGTGTATTCTATATATCACATAAATTACAATTTTTTAAAACTCGTTTTAAAGAGTTATCTTCCTAATAATACTTTAAAGTAAATTTAATATTGCTAGGTAATAGTAAAGGATGAACTATTTTGTTACATAAAATTCTGTTATATTAAATAGAAGAGCATTCATTGCATATATTTCTGTTCTCAACAATTTCAGTACAAATTTTTGCATATACTACATTGCCTTATAATTAATAAAATATTGGATTTAAAAATAATGACGTAATAAATTTTTGTTAAATAAAATAAATATACATACTTGTTCAATCAACTTTTCATATAGATTCTGCAAAAAGTACATAATTTAACTGTCTTTTTTGTTGATAATTCAACTTTTTACAGCTAAAGTTGTGTAAAAATAAATTTGGAAAGAGTTCTTATACAACAACTTCAATATAATAACTATTATCAAATTATGCAGGAGTTTGTTTGATATACTTTAATATTTCAAGTGACTGAAGGCTAAGACAAATTAATCTTCTCTTTTTATTAGTATTTTTTGTATTATCTGATATTTTTTTGATATTAATAGTAGGTAATTCTTTATTTTGATTATTTTCATCTATTTTATCATTAACTTATATTAATTATCTTCATTCATATTATCATATACATCAGAATCATATTCTTCTTTCTCTTTAACTGCTCTACTTATTTTAGATGAAACCAGCTATAAATTGTTTTTTGTTCATCATCTGCTTTACATTCAGAATGATGAATATGACGGTCAAGATAATCCTCTTCCTATTTCAGTTAAGCTTTATTTTTTCTCATAAATGCATACTACTTTTTAGGATGTATAATATATGCAACATATTTATATTTTGAAAGTCTTTCAAAACTATGTTTTCAACCTATCATATTTAGTATAAGAATATAAAAAAAAATTTATTTGTTAAATTTTATTATTAGAAAAAAAGAGATAAATCTACGATATATAAAATTTGATATAAATAATTTATTTAAAATTGATTATTTATAAATAATACATATATGATCTGCTAAATTTGCTTTAAAAATATGCAAATAAACCTCTTACTTAAAAAAAATCCTGTCAAAATACATAATTTGATAATTTAACATAAACTAAAAAATTCACACTTTGTACGCAAATCCAAATCTTTCTCTATTTTTTTTCTCTATGATAATAACACAATAATGCATCCTACCCTTATATATATATTTTGAGGTTTTACTCTCACATTATTAATGAATCATAAATAATTAATATACCTTATTACCTAAGGACAGTCTAAAAAATAATAAACTTAACTTTTGACAATTTTTCTCTTCTCTCATCTTAACAAAAGAGGTTGTATAATGAAATAGAACTTGAATCAAGGGCTTATAACTTAGATAGAGAATGAATAAGTTTTATAAAAAGCGCATTTAAATATATATATGTTGCAATAAATTTAAATATATGCGTATTGCTATGTTGCTATATCAATCCATAATAAATATATGCTTAATAAGCCACTTTATTAAATGATCATCATATAATCAATATTAATATTACATGATTATTATATTATGTGTAATCTAAAATCTACTTTATTTTTTTCACCCTCTAAGATATTAGATAATATCTGACAGTGCCCTTACTATAATAGAAATTTAAGAATATTTAAATAAAATTGAAATTAGTTAATAAGAAAATAAAAGCAAAAAAGATTTTGAAATAATATATAAATCAGTTATGCTATTAATTTTCAAATACTCTTATAAAAATAGCAAGTCTTGAATGAGATTTTCTTATAATTTATTAATTAAAATTTTGTAAAATAATATTAACATATTTATCAAATTGAATACTTTACAAATAGTTCACTAAATACTAAGATAATTAAAGAAATGCAATTATTTATTTTTTTTTATTTTAAAAAATAAAATATAAAATATTTTGAATTCAAAAATCTTTGAAAATAAAATAGAATTTTTAATAAAAAAATATAAAGAAATTTTATTGAATAAATAAAAATGATCATATGAGAAGTTAATATAAGTGACTAATTTAAATTAAATCTAAATACTGATATAACTAAACTTTAAAGTTTAACTGATTATACTAAGAATGTATCATATAGATTATAACAGATATTAAAACTAATTTTATACAAATATATAATAAGCTTAAGATAATATTAAAAAAAAAAGAAATAAAAGTAAAAGTAAAAGTAAAAGTATTAATAATATAATTGACAACTTTTAAAATAATAATATTAAAAAAATAATAAAGGCAAATGTGCTATAAATGCATAAATTTATTAAGTAAAGTTAGAAAAAAATACATGAAATTAAAGAAAATAAAAAAGAAGAAAAGTATAATTTAATCCAAATTTTTAGTATGTAAAAGGATAAGGACAAATTATTTGACTTGTTAGCTTATTATTTGGATTCTATTTTTTAGATGATCTCTTTCTTGAAGTTTTTTTAGATGCTTCTACAAGTTGACAAATTCTATTTTCTTGATGAGTTAAAAGTGAAGAAAGATTAGTTAATTCATTTTTTAAACGTTTAGATTCAGCAGAAAGTTCAGCATTTTGAATTAATATTTGTTCTATCAAAGTATCTTCTTGAAGACTTTCTTCTTGATGTGTTTCTTTTCGAACTTCTTGATGAGAATCTTTAGCCTGAATAAAGAAAATGCATATATTAGAAATATAAAATTAGATATCTTTGACTAGCAAATACCAGTCTTTTGAAAGATCTGCTTAATAAACCTAATAATATTTCAAAAGGTTACATATTAATATAAAATAATAAAGGTTGTGATAACTAGTTTTAAATAAGAAAAACTCACATTTTGGAAATCTATAGTATAATATAAGAAAGAGAGAAAAAATGTTAATATGCTGCAATCATATTAAATAGATCAATTACACTGTTACACTCCTTCAGATAACAAATGGACCACATATATAGTATATTAATAAGCCCATATGAGATGTATTCTATTTTACAGTTATTATGTCTAGAACTATTCTTAAGTATACCCATCTTACATTGGAGAACCTTTTTGCTAAAATATTCTTTTTGACGAGCTAAAGCTCTGCGACGAGTAGAAGGAGACTTTTTTTTGTTTACTCGAACCATTATAAAAGTGTTTTAAAAGTTTAAAATTTGCAATAATTTTGAGAGAAAAGAAAAATTTTTAAGAAAAAGAAAAGAAATTCTGAATAGAATATTTATAATAAAGCAAAAAATTTTTAAGATCATGAGAATGCAGAAAAATAAACAAAATCCATTGGATCACGTTGAATGACAGAAATTTATAGAACAAAAACTTGTTTAAAGTTGGCGTAGTTGATCAACATTGCTAAAATTGGATGACCCTGCTATACCTTACTATATATGCTAAGAGAAGTTTAACAATTTTGGTATGTTGACAATATATTTTCTTGTTGGATCGTTATAAAATATTATTAGTCGATAAAGTTGTACGTATGAATTCAGAATTCAATTCTTGGATTTTAAAAAAATGTTCATGCGATTAACCGGGCCAATGCAAAGGTGGCCAGGAAAGATCTATACAAGTTGTCCTATTGTCATGGTGTTTTCAAATTGGGTTTATTTAATTGAGTAGAAAATTATTTATAAAATGATACAAAGTAAGTTCATGCAAATAAGATTTAGACAAATTCTAGTAAAAAAAAAAAAAAAAAAATTATATATAAAAGAACAAAGAATGCATGGAAATGTCTAATGGTCTAATGGATATAATGGATGCAGAAATTGTAAATAAGTAAACTTTTTTCATTTACGTTCCCGATAATTCCTATGATTTCTAGATATTTTCCATAACAATGAATCTTCATTTGGGCTGCAAAGTTTATTCCAGTTACTTGTTCAACTCACATACTGATATATCCGAGTTGAATTCGAATCTATTGAATTCCGAGACCATAAAAGCGGTCCTTGAGCTTCTCTTTTAAAGTTCATTACGGGTTTTGGTATGTCAGAATTTCTCAATTACACTTATTAGTCGGAAATCTTTTTCACAAACTCGAAATTTCAATTTTCAAAATAACTAGCTTTGTTAGTTCTTTTGATAACGGATTCGGCCACGATATCTCCGTTATTAACATTTTCTCATTACTTTTGATTGAAATAGATCTCATTCTCATGCTCCTGAATTTTCATTACAAGCTCTCTCTATTGTGTGGACTGTTAGTCAAACACCTACTTTAATTGTTAAATTTAATTGTTAAAATTCTCTACGTCTTCTACCTTGTTCATTTAACCTTTTTTTTTGTGGCTTCTGATTTGGTGCGACTTCAAATGCAAAGTTCATTACACAACAATAGATCTTTTTTGATTTATGATAATTACTACAAATGTCATAGAATTCACGATTAAAAGTCTCAAAGCAAACAAAAATAGATAATTGAAAAAGAACTGAGAAAATTCGAAAATGTTCAAAGTGGAAATTATCTGAATATAATTGGCCTTGCGCATCATGGCATACATTAATGCAATCAGGTTTTTTTAAAGTAATCATGCGCGAAGGAAATTGATACCTTGTTTGGAGTAATAAACGTCGGTCTCGAATTTAAGAATTCCGATGGGTTAAATATATATATTTTTTTTCGGCTTTTTTTTTTTTTTTTTTTTTTTTTTTAAAAAAAAAAAAAGAACCATGAGCACCTATGCACTCGTTGCCGCAGCCTTATCGAAAATTACGGATAAGCGAATAGTTACGCATGATGAATACTTATTATTATTACAAAATGATAACAATTCCGTTTATAATTATCAATTATTTGATTTTAATTCACTTCATGAGACATACTTGGTCAAGGGTCCCGATTCTTCCGATAATGTCATCGATGAGGAAGCCACTTCATCTGATGATGATATTGTTTCTTCGCATGATGTTGAAATTGAGAATTCCACGAATCATATTATCATTGAAAATATTTTCATAAAAAAGTTTTTGGGAGGAATCTTAACAATCAAAGATCTAAACGAGAATTCCACCGTAAGCCAATTGAAGAATAAAATTTATGAAGTCGAAGGAATTTCACCGGATGATCAATGTTTAATTATCGGGAACATTTTCATAAAAAGACTTTCCGGAGAGACCATAACGTTTAGAAACATAACGCGAATACCTCCGTAAGTCAATTAAAAAATGAAATTTATAAAACTGAACGAATTCCACCCGAGGAACTATGTTTACGTTACGAAAATAAAACAATGCAAGATCATCAAACATTAAAACATTATGAAATCACAAATGATACAACAATTTATTTGACTTTGCGTGTACGTGGAGGATCTGTTACAATTTATATTCTTGATCTGGATCTCTTAGACCCTCATTTCGATTACGACTTTACAAATATGAAAAGTTCCGGGGAAACTTATATGCGTGGAAATTTCAAGTATAATCGACCGTATGGATGGAGACGTATCGCGTTAAAAGTTCTTAATAAATTTGATGACAATGGTTGGCTCGGGGTAAAAAAGAGGGTAACGAACTTGGAATCTGTGGAAGGTGAATGGATTGTTAGCTACCATGGTACCGCTAATTTTAATGCGAATTCAATCGCAGATGATGGATATCTATTAAACAAAGGGAAAAGATTCGTTTTTGGTCGTGGAATTTATTCTACTCCAAATATTGAAGTAGCCGCTTCATATGCTGAAGAATTTTATTATGAGGGAGAGACAAATAAAGTCGTGTTTCAAAATCGTGTAAAACCTATTGCCTTTAAGATAGTATCAGATGGAAGTATTTTTGTTACTGATAATGATAGGGATATTAGACCTTATGGACTTTGCATTCAAAAAGTTTAAATTTTTTTTTTTTTCTTTTCTTTCTTTTTTTATTTCTCGTTAAATGCACAAAGAACAATAATTCTCACTCATTTGTAAGGTCATTATCTTGTAATATTAAATGTACAAGTGATTGGGATATTTCAAATGCATATGATACAGTATATTTTTAACTACATAATGGGTCATCAACGGTATTATCACGTGTTGAAACGTCATTCGTTAATTGACAATCCCTTTCCAAATATAGTTAGGTGCCTTGCGTAACAACAAAAATCTATAAATTTCTCACAAAATATATAACGATATAATATAAATTTTTTTGTATTATAAGAAAAAAAAACCATGATTTTAGGTGGTTACGGAATCGAGATCTTGGTGAACGATAATTCCCCCCTTCGAGAATATAGCGAACCGTATGAGACTAGTAAAATGGTAAATCTGTACAGTGGTCTATATTTCACTTTTCATTTTTATGTTATTCATCGAAGTATACTACCTTAAAATTTTTTAGGAAATTACTACGAAGCAGAGTTATATACAAGGCATCAACACGGACAAACGTTACGATAGGTTTTTATAAATGACATTTGACGTCTTAACCTTTCAATTTGATTTCGTTTTATTTTTTTTTATTGATTAATGTATTTTTTTTTTATTTTTTTTCCCAGCGATAGGACCGTGTTCGTAGCGGTACCAAAACCGGGAATGAAATTCACAGTCAAGCTGTGGGCGGATTCGGCAAATTCCAAGAAGGCATATCGAATTCATTTATACATTGATGGAATATGGGATCACGCATCTTATACGTTAACAGATTCACGTTCAAATATAATTGAACACTTTATTGATGAAAAGGATAAGAAAAAATATAATTTTATATTCGCTCCATCAATGTGGACGGATGATGTCTCAAAGGAGGTTAATTTTAAGGAGGATTGTAATCGCGGATTCGGAAGTATATCGGTAGAATTTTTTGAAGCTACGTGGTCACTAAAAGAGTATGCAAGGCCTTCTTATACTGTAAAGCAAGCAGTCGTAACAGAATCTAAAAACTACACTGGTCTATCTTATAGTACTCGATTTGAAGAAGCTCCAATGGATGGCGGTGAGAAATTGATATCAAGTCACGTAAACGGGTCTTATTATGGATGGAAAAGTGCCGACAAACCGTCAGCTGTTCTCACATTACACTATCGTCCTAAAACGTGGTTGGAATATAAGGGTCTTACTCCTGATCCATTCTATTCAAGAATGACCCCTGAGCCAGAATCAGAAATTGGTTTAGATGAGTATGGAAGAGAGCGGAAAAAAATTAATTATGATTCCGAAGATGAGATCGAAAGGGAACGTGAACGATTAAGGAAAAAAAGTCGCGTGCACAAGTGCATCGATTTTGACGATGGTACAAAACGGCGTAAAGTTGTGGTTGATGAAGGTATGGAGAGTCAAATTATGGCAGAAAAAGTTGATCTTCCTAAATCTTCAGATCATTATAATAAAATTCCAGAGAATAATACTAGACCTTCAGCAAACAATCATCATAGAACTTCAGTAAATAATAATAGACCATCGGCTAACAGATATAATATTCATAAATCCACTGGGAAAAGTTACGTCAAAAGGTTTGATCAAGCCGGTCCAGATGTATCAACGGTTAAATTTGCAAGATATTTTGAAGAAGTCGTTGAAGAGACAAAATTTATCGATATTGAAGTGGACTCCAACAATCCAATTGAAGAAATAAGGCAGAATAAAAAAATTCGAGAAGTTATAGAAATTCTGGATTCTGATGAGGAAGCATAATTTTGGTGTAAGTAATGAGGATGATATACAAATGTGTATGTATATATATCTTTTTATATATTTGTTTAAATTTATGTTAACCTACCTTTTTTTTTATAAATATTTATATATTAATAGTGAGACTTTATCGGTTTATTTGTCTATTACCATTCGAATGCATGGGATTTAATAGATGATATATAAATATACTAAGTCGACTTAAATAAATTAACTAATCAAATCATTTTGTTTTATATAATGGAATATCCTTTTTGGTTTATTTAAATATATATTTTTCTTTTGTAAGACATGATCGGGGAAAAAAAAATAATTTTTAGATCATCTTAAGAAACTATCAAATCATGCTTACCAATATATTTATATATAATCAATTCTCTCAGAAACTGTACAATTTTTACAAATTTTTGTTAATAATTTCTTTTTTAATATATCAATTTGCATCTCTCCAAGCAACATAAACTTCATCGGTTCTAAACCTGAAGTAAGAAAATAATAATAATAATTAATAAAGGAAATATAATGATGATAATCTATCAAAAGCAAATTAACATCACATACCTTTGAGTACAAGTTGATCTTTCTAATGGAGTAATAAAACCAGTTCTATAAGCAAGCAAACCAGCATGAGCTATCATAATTCCATTATCAATACAAAATCTTTCGTCGGTAGCAAAAACTTTTCCATCACGTTGTTCAACCATTTGTGCCATCATTTCTTGTAATCTCAAATTACATCCAACGCCACCAACAATTAACACCTCTTTACTGCCAATATGTGCCATGGCTCTTTCAGTAATTTCAACCAACATGGCAAAAACAGTTTCTTGCAAAGAGAAACACAAATCTTCAGGGGAACACGATTGTTCATTTTTGATGGTTTCTATATTTGATAAAATCCCTGAAAATGATACGTCCATTCCTTTTACGGTATAAGGTAATTCGATAAACTTTTTTCCTCTTAAAGAAAAAAAAAAAAAAGATTTTTTTTTTTTTTAAATCAAAGAAAAATGGTAGTTCTAAAATAAGGAAATCATGACTTACTTTTTTGCGTGTTGTTCAATGTTATAACCTGGACTTGGGTCATTGGATAAATTTAATATCCTTGCAAATCTATCTAAACAATTACCAACCGCAATATCGAGGGTTTCTCCAAATATTCGATATCTACATATCATCTCTTCAGTCAAGTCACATTTAGATTCTAAGAGAATCTTATCATCATTGAATTAACCTTTCTCACCTGTGCTCTGAATATGCGATTACCTGAGTATTTCCTCCACTAACATATAATACCACAGGATTATCGGCTTTAGTAATTTCCCTCCCCATTTCAATATCTTTAGGGATCAAGCAAGGGAAATGAAATAATGAATTAAACGTTGAAAGAAATGAGACACTTTTTGCTTACGTCCTATACAATGATTTACTCCTACAATTGGCTTGTTCCATAATAACGCCAAAGTTCGAGCGACAACTGCAACAGAAACTAAGGGAGCTCCCATTCCTGGTCCTTTTTAGTAAAAAAAAAAAAAAAAAATCTTCAGTATAATCGTAAACTTTCCTTGAATTGAATCAGAAAATCTCTTTCGTTCTCGTACCTTTGGTATAACAGATAACATCGATATCCTTAATTTGAACATTAGAAGTTTTTAAAGCTTCTTTAACAACCGGTATGATATGCTCCCTATGATGAACAGCAGTATCCCTCGGTAAAAATCCTGTTCCCGGAGGTGTAACGTGTGTGTGCCGTATATTTGCCAATATATTTACTACGCCTGATTCAGTATTGTGTTCTATAATGCCTATTCCTAATTTATTTGCTGAACCCTCAAAACCAATTGCAATCATTTTTTTTTTAATTTTCTCTGGAACAAATGCCGGAAAAAAGAAAAAAGGTGACAAAAAATATATATATATAAATTTGAGATTGGTGTCGATCATGTGACATTGATCAAAAAAGTTTTTAAGCCACCGGTCACTTTTTTTATTTTTTTATATTTGAAAAAATCCTCCTTTTACATAAAGATGTCTCCATCAGCTAAAAAAGTCTGGATCAGATCAAAGTAATTTTACGTAAGAAATTTTAAATCAAATTTTTTAAAAATGGAAATTTCTCCTGAAAAACAACAAATTTCACGTACAACATGAGCTTCAGAATTTGAAATTTTGTAACTTAAGGGTTATTAGTAAATCATCCATTTTTGTAAGCATCACAGTTACATTGAATCATGGCGTCAATCTAAGATAAACCAAAACTCCTTCAACATCCACGTAAGGAGCAATATATACATTTTCATACCTACTATAACCAAAATTATAAAAAAGGTTACCGGTTATGATTACAAAATTTCTCAACATATTTTTGATTACAGAATAAAGATTTACGTGTTATAAACCCGAAATTCAACTCGTAAATTCCAAGTCATCAAATGTAATTATTAAAAAGGGATCGTGTTTATCAACGAACATTTTGGAAAAAAAAAAAAAAAAATTTTTTCACTTTTTGTTTACGTTATTGAGATAATAAATATTTTTGTTTAAAAACAAAAAAAATAAATAAAATAAAATAAAAACTTTTTTAAAAAAAAAGAAAGAAAGAAAGAAAGAAAGATAGTAGAGAATATGAGTACACAAGCTTTTGAAAATAAAAATACAAAGGGTTTGAAGTTTGGATCTTCAAAGTAAGTTTCTTGTTGTTTACAAGTCAAAAAAAAAAAAGGCTTCGATTATTGTTGATTTCATCTTTTATCAATAGTGATAATAAATGTTTAAGCATTGAAATCAATCCTCATTTATCAAAAATTAAACGTCCAAGGAACAGAGGTATTTAGCGAATAACCTTTATTGCGTTCGTTCAACTAAAATCGATTTTATTAATTATAAATTATCCCTCCTCAAAAAAAGTGGAATTCACAAAGGAAATGCTCGAAATAATTGATAAAAAGCTTAATGATTTGGAAGGTGATGATACACATCGTAAGTATAAAATTAAAATACTTTGGTTCTCGTTTTTGTTTTAAAAAATGTTTTTTATAAACATGAAATTATTCAATTTTCTTGATAAGGTAATTTGAAAGATGAATCGCTTACTCCTGACATAAGGTTAGATACCCCCGTAAGCACTCCTATCGATATCGAATGACAAAAAGACCGTTAAATGCTATCCACAGAGATTTTAGGAAAATTGTCCCTTGCCTAGTTTTAGTTTTACAGCTAAAAAAAAAAAAATTTCGATTCTGATATATATATATATATATTGTAAAGACTTAGAATGTTTCGCTTTCAAAATAAAGACAGAATTATATATTTTATATACATTACAGATATATTAAAGGTATTTGCGGAATTACGGATAAATGAAGTTGCTGCAATCGAAAATATAGACTTGATAACGTTTATACCTAATAGCTAGACATACTTTTCGAATCTTCGGATATCAATTGAGTTTCAAACAACTATACATGTAATAAAAATAAATAATCATTGAGAAAAATCTCGCATCGTTGCATTGATACTGTAATAACGATAAATTTTTTTTTTTTCAATAAATAAAATTCCTATTTACGAAAAAAGGAATAGATGTTATATTTTAATTAATTACGTTAGTAAATTCATTAACGAACGCATCTTCATATAGGTACTTTGCAATAGAAAGGGACAATAAAAAATGAATGCTAATTTTGATAATTTTCTAGCAAAGTGCGGACATTAAAAACAAATCTTTTAAATTTTTAAATGTAAATATGTCGAGTATATATATTGATTAAATTCTATTTTAATAAAATATTAAGTGGTAACCTAATTTAATCCTAACTTTAATTCTATGCTCTCATATTAAACCTATTTATCTTTAAACTTAATCTTTAATCCTAACTTTTAATATTAACTCTGATTCTAACTTCTAAACCTAATTTATAAATAACCAACCCTAATCACTAAACAATTACTATATATAATACATTTTAACATATTAATTAAACTTTAGTAATAATGTATATTCAAGGATGATCACAACTTAGCCTATGAATAAAAAATAAAACTTCCTTTTCAAACTTCTTTCTCTCTTTGTTCTTCCTAAACTCTCTTATTCTAAAAAACAGTTTTTGTTAGTCCAAATAGTGGTGTTTTTTGATAAAATATTTTTTTTGCTACTTCTAATAGCCATTTTTTTCATTTTTTCTCCTTTTTCTTTTTGCTCACAAAAGTAAACATCAGGAGGTATCCCAAATAATGATCAGGATTAATAATAACTTTAGATCAACTAATTGCATATGATGATTTTTCTATTACCTTCCTAAATAAGCAAACTCTTTTAGGTCTCTGACATTATAGAGCCTATTGATCTTAGTAAGATTTTCTGATTTTCACAACTGTATAATTTGAACTTTATATAATAACTGCTAGCAGCTGTAATCTGAAATGACAGATATATTAGTATGAAAGTTTGAAAGTACCAAAGAGCCTCTAACAGAACTTAATGATATGAGTGTTCCTATAATGGAAGATCACTATAATTAAGAATTAACTAGGCAATTTAGCTATGAATTTGTTAGAGTCAAATATTTTTATTAGCTTCTTTTTTGGTTTAACAATAATTTAAGTTACTTATTTTGTATTGAATTTAAATTTAAGATAAGAATTATTATTAGGTAAAAAAAAGAAGTATAATAATAATTTAGTTGTCATATATTGATGAAAACTCTATTAATAATTATCTTCAGAATATAGCAGGATAACCAGTTAGTCTAAAACCAGTAAACTTTTATCTTACAAGAATATTTTATGCAATTTAATTTATTTTTTTCTACTATATATATATAGTTTTCAGAATTTTCATGTATTACCCTACTGGATTTGAATTTTTATAATAAATTTGAGCATTACTACATCTTTATAAAAAAAAAAAAATTATTTAAAAATAAAATTTAGTTTGTTAGATTTATCTCATTAAGATTATTAAATGATTATATTTTCATATTTCTGAGGTTAATAGATAACAAGATATATAAGTTTAAAATTTTAACTTTTTTTCATAATAATTTATTATATTTTTATCTTTAAAATATCACTAATTAATTACATTTTTTTTTTAATTTTTATTTAGAAACATTATAAAATTTATTATAAAATATTAATTTTAAATAAATTATTTTAAAAATATTTATAGTTATTATAAATAATTTTAATTATTAAATAAAATTATAAGTAAATTTGCTTGCAAAATGCTTAAAAGAATAATATTGATATTTTATTTTTTGTAATAATCTTAAATATTTCTTTAGAAAAACTATTAAAGAAATCTAGTTCTAATTAATATTATATGTTTCTATTTTTACAACTTTTTCTTAAAAATTACTATTTTTAAAACCAATATTAAATAATATTTAATATTATTCTAAAGGTCATTTTTTTAAATAAACATTTTTCTAATAAATTTAACCTATATGATAATATTTATCTATAGTTTTCAAAAAAATATCTATTTAAGAAAACAGCCTTTAGAATAACATACAGTAATAATATTCTATATTTATGTTTTAATTTTTTTTTAAGTTTTAACTCTTATTATTTGATAAATATATTAGCATTATATTATAGAATTCTTCTGTATTTTGTAATTTTTAATATTAGTATTATAAATATTTTATTAAAATTCTAAAATTTCTTTTCTAATATTTTATATAAAATTTGTTTTAGTTAATATATTTAACTTTTTTTAATACTATAAAATAAAAGCTTTAATTTTTTATATAATAAACTTATGAGATTAATAAAATATTAGTTAGATTCATAAATTTTAATTAAAGATAATGCTACAACTAGTTGCAATTATGTGATGCTTATTTGTCACTAGTTGCAATTAGTTGCAACTCAATTTTTATTAATGTTGTGACTAGTTGCAACTATATGATATTTATTTATTACTAATTACAACTAGTTGTAGTAATTTTAATATTTAATAAATTATTAAATATATATATTATTAAATGAAATAATTTTTAACTTAATAATTACATTTTGATAAAAATATAATCATTAGAATTTTCTTAATGAGAATTTTCTAATAAATATAAACTTAATTTAATTAGACTAATAGTTGATAAAATATTTCAAAAAGAATGATTAAAGATAATTTTATAGATCATTATTATATAGAGCTATAATTCCTTAATTATAATTTAATAATCAACCAGCTAAAATTACAAAATAATAAAAATGATAGAAATAATGATAATGTTATTAATAATGTTAAATATATTAATATAATTAAAATAGTTTACTTAGTTAAATTTGTTAATTAAATTAAATAATATTTATAATATTTTTGTAGTTAATTAAAGTTTATTTTATTTTAATTTAGTAATAAAGATAAATCAAAAGTTTTATATAAATAGAATAGGAATTTTATGTAATTTTATCAGTCAGTTTTTAGTCAAAATTAGTTATTTTACAATCAGTTTATACAGTCAACTCTTGTTATAGCGAACTCTTGATATAACGAATTTTTTGAACAAATATAATAAAAATACTCTTGTTATAGCGAATTGGCCAATCAAATCTCTTAAAATCTTCACTATAGCCTTATAGCGAAGTTGAGGTCTAGGACATAGAGTTCGTTATAACAAGAGTTGACTGTAGTCAGTTTTTAGTTAATTTTTAAGTATCTTAAGTTAATTAGATTTTGAATATAGTTTATTATTTATTTATAATTTTATAAATTTGTAAATAAAAGCTTATTAAAATTATTGAAAAGTATTAATGTAATTTTTCTATTTAATAAAATTAATCTTACTCTATAACTTTGTTTAGTTAAACTTGTGATATAAATTTAATCTATTATTATTACTTTTTCATATAAATATATACCTATATTCATTAATTGTATTAATTTTATATTGATAATTCTATTAATATAAATAAGACTTTAGGATTATTAATATAAATTATTAATTTTTAGAAATCTAAAACTTTACTATATATATTTATAACATTTTTTACAAAACTTATTTATTCTAAATAAAATATTTAAAAGTTATGTATTATATTTATTATTAATCAATTTTATAATACAAAACCATATAATTTTCAGAAAGAATTTCTTTTAAATAGTATTAATATTTTTTAAAAAAAGATTAAGAATAGTATATATAATATATATAAATCACAATATAGCTTAGTTTATCAAATACTTTTTTTAATTTTCTTAGTATGACTTTTGAAAATACTTTTTATATTTTAATAAATTCTAGAAAATTTATATTAATTATAAGATTTATTTTGAAAAAAAAATAAAATAAAATAAAAAATATATTTTTCTAAAATTTTATATATAATTTTAAAATTTAATTTTTATAAACTATATAAATATATTTTAAAATCTAAATAAATTTCAAGAATACATTTTATAAGTTTAATTATAATTAAGATTACCTAATTTTTAAAAATAAATAATTATAAAAAAAATTCAAATTATAGTTAATATTTATAGTAATTAATTTTATTTATTAAAGCTTATAATCTTAAAAAATATTTATTATCTTATAATTTTTAAAATTTTTAAATTAATCTTATAATTTATTTAACTTATAGTTATTTATATTAAAAATAAATTAAAGAAAGATATTTATTAATTATAATTAATTTTTTTTATTAATAATTTAAATTTGCTTAAAAATTAATTTATAATTTAAATAAAAAGTTATTCTATTTATATATAGCATAATAAAAATAATCAGAATAAAATTTAATATAAAAACTTACTTATTTTTTCTGTAATATAAAATTAATTATATTAAAATTTTAATAATTATTTATAAAAATTATTTATTTGATTTTATTTTTATTATTTAATTTTTATATAGAAAAATTTAAAAACTTTTTTTTTAAATGTATCAAATTAGTAAATTAATCATCAAATAGCTTAAATCTAAATCTTATTGAAAATTTAAGTCATTTTTAAAGTAACATATAAAAAAATATAAAAAAAGATATTAATAAAATAATAGTTAATAAAAATCAATTTCTGTAAACATTTTTATTAAAATAAATTGAATTTAAAATTTTAGTTAATTTGACTTATAACATGTTAATAAAATTTAAATAAATAATAATAATAATAAAATTTGCTATTTACAGTACTTA